GCTACTTTAATGGCCGCACCACCCATTGCCCGGGTGCCGGAATACCTGCGCTGGGTGCCTCCATAGCCACGCTGCCCATCATTTGGACATTGGAACACCTGTGTGAGCGTTCGTTTTCGGGGTTCTCCTGTTGCTTCAGACCACTTTTTCCATCAGCCCACTTTGGTTGGGATTCTGTGTTTACTTTTAAGCTCTTTTTTGTATTTATATTTGAATTATTGTATGTTTGTTTATTTTTAAGCTTTTTTATTGTATTTCTATTTAAATTACTTCTAAGCTTGTTACTGTATTTATATTCAAATTATTATCTCATGTTTATTATTGTATGTTTAAATTGTATTGTATTGTATGTTTAAATTGATATGTTAACTGTTTAAATTCATATGTTATGTTTATTATTATATGTGTAATGCGGCATTGTATGCCATAGATTGTAAGCCACCCTGAGTCCCCCACTGGGGTGAGAAGGGTGGGGTATAAATGTAGTATAATAATATAAACAATATAACAATCATCACTGCAATTACAATTAAAGTTTTTTGACAACCTGAGGTCAGGCAACCATGACGTTAACCATTCCCACCAATTATATTTCTATTTCATGCATTTTTGTTCAATCTTCTTTGATTGGTTGATATAATGACAACAGGTAGTATTTAACTAAGCATACAATCCCCCTTCTTTGTTAAGTAAATAATCTATAGCCAATTGATGCTGCATTAACATGCTAGCCAGAGAATCTACTTCTGTTTGGATGGCTTGTCGACCTTTTGCAGTTTCATTTGACATTTGCTGTAGCTGTGCTGACAGGTGCCAAATTTGTCTAAAGGGGCCCAAGTTGTTGTGGTTCAAACAGGTAAATATTATCAAGGTCATATCCATATCTTTCATCATATGCCCTTTTTATTCTATCCCAGCCAGGCTGTTTATCACAAGCTTTTTGGGATTGTTCTTTGCTAAAGAACCCCAATCCCTCTGGTATCAGAGTTCCAATAGTACATGTTCCATTCCAGACTGGGGGTAATATTTTTTCTCCCCAATTTCCACATAGCCAATGCAATCCTGAGCCTAATCCATCCAGTCCCGCCCCATTGTGCATACTAACATCTTGTAACTTCTGTAATGCCATTTGACCTCTATTATTTCCATTTATGGGACTGGTCTTTTGCCCCACATCTCTAGCAAAATTGACATTTTGCAAATCTGTGATGTTCCACTCTGTTAAATTAAGAAGGGGGCCTGGCATGAGAGACCAGCTTTGGAGGTGACTGCAGGGCCAAACAATCTTTTACATGCATCCCCTCAGCATTGGAATTTATCTATTCATGAAGAGTATTTTTCGCCATCCTGTCCAGATCAAGTGTCTTATCAAGCTTAGAGTCATAGAATCATCGAGTTGGAAGAGACCTCATGGGCCATCCAGTCCAACCCCCTGCCAAGAAGCAGGGATATTGCATTCAAAGCACTCCTGACAGATGGCCATCTAGCCTCTGTTTAAAAACCTCCAAAGAAGGAGCCTCCACCACACTCTGGGGCAGAGAGTTCCACTGCTGAACAGCTCTCACAGTCAGGAAGTTCTTCCTCATGTTCAGATGGAATCTCCTTTCTTGTAGTTTGAAGCCATTGTTCCATTGCGCCCTAGTCTCCAGGGAAGCAGAAAACAAGCTTGCTCCCTCCTTCCTGTGGCTTCTTCTCACATATTTATACATGGCTATCATATCTCCTCTCAGCCTTCTCTTCTTCAGGCTAAACATGCCCAGCTCTTTAAGCCGCTCCTCATAGGGCTTTTTCTCCAGACCCTTGACCATTTTAGTCGCCCTCCTCTGGACACATTCCAGCTTGTCAATATCTCTCTTGAATTGTGTTGCCCAGAATTGGACACAATATTCCAGGTGTGGTCTAACCAGAGCAGAATAGAGGGGTAGCATTACTTCCCTAGATCTAGACACGATGCTCCTATTGATGTAGGCCAAATCCCATTGGCTTTTTTTGCCGCCACATCACATTGTTGGCTCATGTTTAACTTGTTGTCCATGAGGATTCCAAGATCTTTTTCACACATACTGCTCTCGAGCCAGGCATTGTCCCCCATTCTGTATCTTTGCATTTCATTTTTCCTGCCAAAGTGCGTTTGCATTTGTCCCTCTTTTCTGCTTTCAAGGGATGCAATGCCGGAATGGATGATACAAGTTGAGTCAAGTGAAAAAGGCTTTATTTGCTGGCCAGCAAATACCAGGCAGTTGGCTTGAAGCATAAAGAATTGCCGTGCTCCTAAACAGGGGCTGCGATCTTTTATCATTTTACAGTGGATCAAACAATACAATTTTGATTGGTGTTAACATTTTGACTTTTTCATTGTATTTTAAGTGGCTTCCTATTCTATGCATGTAAACAGTTAAGATGGAACTTCTTATCTCTAGCCCTGACTTGCTTGAGCAGCAGCAAACACTGGTCTTATCTTCTAGTCTCACATACAAAGAATTTGGGAGGGAGCTGTTTTTCTAAAAACCTGCAGCATCTGCTCTTTTCTTTAGTACAACTCCTGTTATCCATTTTCAGACTTCACCCCCTATACTAGCAGAAGTGTTACTTCTGACTCCAATCCTTTGAAAGCTATTTATTTATTTACTTTCTTACTTACTTTATGTTTCTTCCACCTTTCTCCCAATATAGGGACTCAAAGCAGCTCAAAACAAACATGACACAATACACTAAGACAGAGCAAATAAACTATAATACAACTATAAAATTACAAAAAATTAAATCCTATGTGGATGGATAATTAAATACCCGACATCTGTCAGGGATGCTTTGATTCTGTGTTCCTGTGTGACAAGGGGTTGGAGTGGATGGTCCTTATGGTCTCTTCTAGCTATGATTCTATGAAAGATATTTAAATACTTTTAAATTTAGTAATGCAATTCTTTTTGTTCAGTTTTTATTCCACCTTTCAATCTTAAATAATATATAATAAATTTCAGAATTATCACTGGAACATTAAAAAAACCCCAAGCAGATTAGTTAAAATTCAGTTTCAGATCTGTTCTCACTGAAAATCTGAATCCTGGGGCAAGATCATTTTGATGTGAAACTGTTACAAGGTGCAGGCAGTAGGTTTATGCAAGTGAAGAAAAGTGTTTCCATGCTTATGCTAACATAATTTGGTGCTTAGTGATGTGAAATTAGATGAAATTGAGATCTGTAATCAGATAACCCTGATGGTTCAGGGTGGTAGTAGTTCTGGAGTCTTAATAGAATATACGAGCAGTTAGATTAGCAAATGGCACGAGGAGATTAATGGTCCGAGCTCCTGTACCAATCCAGTTTCTTTGTGCTACAAGTTGTTTTACAATTATTTTTAAACATGGAAAGTTCATTCCTGTGTCTCTAACATGAATTCCAAGTTAATGTATATATAAAGAGTTTCTTAACTGAGCAATACCTGTGTATATTAGCTACTTGCAGAGAGAGAGAGTAGGGTGGGGAGAGAGAGGGAGAAGGCACACAGAGAGTCAGCAACCATTCTCTTTTTTATCTTTTCCTCCCTTTGTTTTCTGGACCTTCTACATACAGTTGCTTGCAGCCTTTCTCTTCCATTCACTAGGAGGTGTTTTCCAGAGTTCGTTTGCTCAGCTGCTTATAACACTAGAGGTGGTTAGCAAAAATTCCTGGTGAGTGGATTTAAGGAGTTGAATCAATCCACTTGAGAAAATCTGCTTGGAGTGTAAGGGAAAGGAGTCCACTCTAACTATAACTCTCCCCATTAGAGGAGACCATCAATTTTACTATGGCAATTTGTTGTAGTTAACTTTTGCCTGAGCGTCAATCTGGAGTTCTCCTTGCAGGACTATAATACAAATTAAAATACATGTATAATGCAATAAGACTGTGTTACGTTAAGGTAAGTATGGATTTTTTTGTCTTTATTTGCTTCTAATTACTGTAGTTCAATATCAATATCAAGTCAATGCAGAGTTTGAGCTATGGTATGGTATGAGATATATTTGTCAGACCTATATTTAATAGTAAGTCTCAAGCAAAAAGAAGCTACATTTATTCGGCACTTACCAATCCCCATAGGTGCTAGTTAACCAAGAGTCTACTGTACATATTATTCAATATGCCACTGATAAAAACCAGGACACATGTGGCCAAGCAACATCATCATGGTCATGATGGCAAAGTTTATTAGTAAGGAATAACACACAAGCTAGGAAAGCTACATTAGTTTGCTTTTACCAGAGCCAATTGGAAAGAGCAAGATTTCCCCCCTTCCTTTTCATCTTCCCCTGCTGATTTAATTGAGTGCAAATTATTTTTGTACTTTCAACTCAGTTTATATCAGTTGAAGTAGGCAGAGGGCAAAGGGAATAAAAATGGGATATTTTTAAAGTATCTGGAAAAGTGGAATGACACAGGATAAATCACAACTATCTACTAAATTGGAACAGTTGGTAGGTATGTTAGTGTCCACTGAGCCCCCTCAATGATGCCCCATTGAGCACAATAAATGTTGGGGAACATGCACTGAAAGTGCTACAAGTTTTGATTGATAGGCTAGTTAGTATCTCTCTGAAACAGCTTCTGGTTTGTAGATACAATAGTATCCTGCCTTACAAGGTATGGTTGTTGAAGAGCATTGGACATTACCAGGTATTCGAAACCATTTTGGATGGAGTTGGCTATCTTTTTAATTAATAGACAGAATTCAATTGCTACTACCACCTAGAAGAAATTCACTGAATCAGTTGCCAAATATAAATAATAATAATAATAATAATAATAATAATAATAATAATAAATAAAACCTTATTTGTATTCCGCCCTATCTCCTTGAGGGAGTTCAGGGTGGATTCCAACATAATGTCAGCACTTACGTAAATCCTATTGACTGAGCAAATCTGCTCTTGTTGAAGTAGTACAAAGTACTTGTTAATGTTTTATTCACAAAATATGTGTGACTTTAGTCCTGGGTGTGATGCTTCTTCCTTGTTGTGTAGGCTTGTGGTAGCAGTCGAAGAAGCATTCACCCACGTTAAGCGCATGCAGGCAGAGGAGCAGCAGAAAGCCCCTGGAGAAGTGATGGATGCTCGAGAGGCAGCACAGGCCATCTTCCCTTCCATGGCAAGAGTGCTGCAGAAGTACCTACGGACTACCCGGCAACAGCCCTACCACACCATGGAGAGCATCTTGCAACACTTGGCTTTCTGTATCGCCCACAACATGACACCAAAGGTATGGAAAGAGAAGGAGGGCTGTATAGGTCTTGATTCACTCTCATGCCATTACAGTCATGGACAAGGGGTGAGTGGCTTGGATCTCGCTCCTTTCCTGATGCATCCACTGGAGGGACAAGCATCTCCAGTGTGTGGTGGAGATGAAGCCTGCTCTTCTATATACCTTCTCCTTATTAAGACAAATAGCTAAAAAATACTGCCCAGCTTTCCTATCATCTAGATCTAGCTTCGTGGGAGTTAACTGCCCATGTAGTATTTATGCGTGGCACAACTGGGTTAAAAATTCAGTGCCCTGAAAATTTTCACTTTTTTGAAAAGAAGAAGAGGAAGAAAAGAAAATCTCCCCACAATGATCTTACTTTGCAACTGTGTTATCCAGTGTGTGGAACCTGCTTACTGACCATCTCAGAAGCCAGAGGTTCTGTGACTCTCCAAGCTGCTGGTCCCTCAAGCAAAACCAGAATAAATTAGAACTTTCTATCAGGATTAGCTCTCCCATAAGCAGATGTTCTAGGCCACATGTGTCAAACTCAAGCCTGCAGGCCAAATTTGTCCTGCTGTTTCATTTTATGTGGTCCTCCAGATGTTGGACTCCACCTCTTCTACTTCATTAAACATCATGACTAGAGCAGATGGGAGTTGTGATACAGTAACATCTGAAAAGCTGCAGTTTGTTCTGTTTTGTCAGGATAGTGTGGTTTGGATTTAGCTACAAGGCTTGTGACTAGGATGCCTGGCTTTATAGTGTCTTTTCACCTTTCCCCAAACTCAGAGCCAAAAATGCTGTTGAATCGCAATTCCCTCAAAGCCAGGAATGCAGGAAAGCTTGTTGCTGGTCCTATTTCTCAGCAGACATGGCTCCTGGTAGATATACGCTCCATCTTTCAACATTCCATGGCACAGGCAAAGACATCCTCACTTCCATAGGTTTCTGGAAAGCTCTGCTCCCAGTATGGAAGTTGAAATTAGATACATTCTCATTTATGCACATTCATCTTTTCTTTGTTTCTCTTTTTTTTTCACACTGGAAAGACACAGTTTACTTACATTTCTCTTACCTGCTGTTTCCTGGAGTTTTGATTGTACATGTGAACATTTCATTATTTTTACCTCTTCATAGCTGTGTGAGAGGGCTAAACAAGTTTGGCATCAAGCGTTCTGACAGAGTTTCCCTGCCCCACCCTAGAGTTTGCATTGAATAAAATATAAGTGGTATTGAGACAGCGCCCAGGAGAAAAACTTGTTCTGCCAGGTGTGTGAGCTGACAGGCTTCGCTTCCCGTTTATTATTTTGGCAGCTTTTCTTTACTTTCACATAATAGGATTGTGCTTTTTAAGGCTGAGGTTCTTTGGCAGAGAACATGCTGGAGTTGAGGGATTGTGGGGTGAGGGCATAGGTGTGAACCTGTTATGGAGGAAATGGCTTCAATACTGCATCATTGCAGTTCATTTCACTTGGTCTGATAATGTTTTCATAGTTCTGTAAGTGTTTCTTCCTTGGATGTGTACAATAACTAATAATGGAGCCTGAGAAGGGAACCAGCTGAAACTGCTGAATACTCAACTAAAATGAAACTACTCTTGAGCCTCTGAGACATTTCCAGGCTGGTCCGAGATCTCATTAGTTCTCTGTCTGCTCTTTTCTAGGCTTTCCTGGAACGTTATCTCACTCCAGGCCCAACTCTGCAATATGACAAGGATCGTTGGTTCTCCAAACACTGGACACTCATAAGTGAAGAAGCTGTTACAAGGGGACTAAGGGATGGTGTCGTGTTTGTCCTCAAGTGCTTGGACTTCAGCCTTGTCATTAATGTGAAAAAGATCCCTTTCATCAAACTCTCAGAAGAGTTTTTAGACCCCAAATTTCACAAGTTTGCCTTTCGCTTACAGTCGGAAACATCGGTCTAGAGTGGCATGTGTCTGTGGGTGAGAAGAGGGTAGCCTCTAACTTTATGCATTCAGGTGTCTGGATTTTGGTATATGTTTGTTTTCCCCTTTCCCTGTTATTGAGTTCAAAAAGCACAGGTGATGGGCCACAAAGATTTTTGCCATCTGCACTTTATTAGGAAAGAGGAGAAAGAAGATTCTTTAGAAAGATGCAAAGAGTGTAATGGATTGAATGGAGCACATTCAATTAGTCAGAATGGCTAATCTTAGTTCATGCACTCCGCAGAGAACCATTCACTACTGTGGTACCTTGTTTTGCGCTGCCATCCTGCCTTAGGTCAGCTGAAGTGTATCTTTTGCTCATGCTTCACCCTACTTTTATCTGTGTTCACAATGTACACTGTTCTATAGATCAGCATCACTTCGCTCAGCTTTTGTCAGTTTCCTATGTAGCTCGTATTCACAGGTCATTCTTTCAGCCCTCAGTTTGTACTATCTGTAATTTGAATCCAGATCATAACTTGAGATTCCAAAGATGCACCTGGCAATATATGGCATGGATCTGCTTGCCTGCTTTCCTTTGATATTCTCTGTGGACTGAGAAAAAATAAATAAAAGAAATACTTATTTCCAGGAGACAGCAGCTTCTGGAGATGGAACAAAGCCTATGAATGTAATTTGTCTATTTACCCAATGTCAGACTGAAATTTTAAAGCTTCCTTATCATGGCTTGTTCAAATGACACAACTGAACAAATGATCAAGAGGATTTTGAGTTAATTTGTCAGGTGATGTCTTTTGGAGAAAGTGGAGATGTCATTCTTCTTCTTAAAGAACATCCTTTTTTGGATCTAGAGGGGGGAAATTGTAAATAGAAGAAAAACACTGACCAGTAGTCCTTTTGGCTGTCTGTACCCACACATGTGCCCAAACACATCATGCACCTTCTTCTCTCCTTGCTCTATGTGGCAGACTATTTTTCTCATCCTATACAGTTTGTCTGTTTACTTTTATCCCAAATATATTTATGCAGTTGCAAAAAGACTTGAATGCTGAGCATTCTGACTTGTGAAAAAAGAACTCTGATTTTTTGTTATAAGAAAGAAAACATAAGTAGAATCTACTGTCAGAGATGTTTAGCCTTAGCGCCTCCCCCTATGGCACAAGTTTATAAGAACCTGGGTTTAGGCCGTGTTTGAATACCATCTGAGCCCACAGATCCAAATAGTCAGCCATTATTTGTGCTTTTCACAGAAACTCTGCTCACTTCAATAAGCTATCATACATAAATCAGTCTATCACTACAGATTTTTATGTGTCTCAGAAGCAGTACGTTTTTCTTACTGCTTTTGAATCTCTCTGTGCACAAGGAGGGCAAACTCAGCTTCTTCGTTGTATGGAGAACTTTGGGAAGAGAGTGCTACTTTACTTTGTCCTGAGCTACCTGAGGCAAGTAGTCTCCAAAGAGAGAATGGGATCAGTGTGCATCATTTGGCAGCTATATTTGTATGGACTCATAAAATCATAGAGAATTATAGACCTCATGGGCCATCAAATCCATCTTCCTTCAACAAGAGCATCCCCAGCAGGGCGATTGGTTCCATTGCCAGACCATTCTCACTGTCAAACCAATCAGATGCTTAATCGAAATCTACTGTCCTTTTGTAAAACCGTGAGAACTGGTCCTATTCTCTGGGGTAACAGAGAGCACCCCCTCTTTGTGTCAGCCCTTGAATATTTAAAGAGTGCAGGCACCTCACCCTTCAGTCTTCCATTCCAGTTACTTCTTCTCATCTTGCTTCAATTTGTTTAGATCCTTCTTAAAATGAGGTGCCCAGAACTGAATGCACTACTAAGATGAGGCCTCACTAGTGCAAAATATAAGAAAACCATAGCAAAAATAGCATTCAGCTTCTTTGCTGCAGCATCAGAATGCTGGTTCACATACAACGTATGAACAACAATACTCCCAAGGTCCTTTTTACATGTAGTATTACCGAGCATCCATCTGTGCATTTGGTTTTTTATATCCTAAACGTAGAATTTTGCATTTGTCTCTATGTTTTAATTGTTTCATTGTTTTAATTTCATGTCATTGTTTTAATTTTATTAATATATTAATTAGTCGGGTTGTAGTGAAGTCTATTTCTTCGCAGGTTTTTCAAGGCTGTCAAGTGTACCTTGATTGTGTATTCCTGTATGGCAGAAGGGGGTTGGACTGGATGGCTCTTACGGCTTCCTTCCCAGTTTGAAGCACAGCCACTGATGACAACTCTTTGTGCATGATTTTCCAAACAATTACTGATCCATCTGACAGTGTTCCCACATATTTCACATTTAATCAGTTTATTATTCCAAATATAATGATGACCTTATCAAGAGATTTGCTTAAATCCAGCTAGATTATGCTTACAGTATTCCTACCATCTATTAAACTAGTGACCTTACTGAAAAAAATATTTTGGCAGGATTTGTTCTTGACAAGCTAATGCTGGCTCCTGCCAGTCATGTCATTGTCATCAAGATACTTGCAGATTGATTGCTAATATCTTTCCTGGTATTGAGATTGCACCACTGATCTGTAGTTTCCTGGATCTTTTTTCTCAGAATTGATGGTAAACAGTTCAGAGAGCACACAGCAGGTTTCTTCAGTACTTTGGGATGAAGTTGGTCTGGCTCCTTATATTTGAATTCATTTAGCTTAGCTAGCAGATTCTTGGCAAACTCTCTATAAATTTTGGTTTGCAATCCAGATCCCTTAGTAAAATCTCTGCTACTGCATGGAAACACATAGTTCTCCTCGGAAGGGAAATAGAGAATGAATAGTTCTGCCTTTTCCCTGTGATCTGTTAGCATTTTTCCATCCCCCTCCTTAATCATTTTCTTCCCTCAAATGTATCAAAATAACATTTTTGTTGATTCCTAGCTAATCTCAGTTCATCCTCAGCTTTAACTTTCTCATACTATTCTTACAAACTTGGACTAGAGATCTGCACTCTTCCTTAATGATCCATCCTTCCTTCTATACACACCCCTTTTCTTTTTCACTTCCTCCTTGATTTTGCTGTGGCTTTTTCCAAAGTTTCTTCATTTTCTTCCTCCTTTCTTTGCTGGTTCTGTTTGCTGGTTCCCAGTGCTGCTGTTATGGATTCTTTTAATCAAGCTCACTGATTTTTTAAAACGTGTGTAAAAATGAAAAATGTATAAAGTTCATCAGATAGGTATACAGATATGTATACCAAGAGGTGTCTAGTTCATGTGCAGCATCACAATTTTTTCCAATAGAAAATTTCCAATATAGGCATGATAACATTCAGTTGTGATATTAAGCCATAAATGTCTTTGCGTTGAACAGTGTTTCAGTAATTAACAAAAATGAGGCCTTATTTGTTCACACAGAACAATTGAATGCATTTCCCTACTCATGTGCTTAAAACAAGCAAACTGTGTCTATCTGCTATATTTCTTTCCATTTTTCATTCACACTAGAAAGCAAGCTGGGGTTTTTCACAATATTTTCTTTAAAACCATAGCTTGAAATATAAAATTTCCAACTAAGACATTATTTTCCCCTTTCCTAATGGTTAAGTACTCATTGGCTTAGCAAGAGTTTGAGACATAATTTTCTTAGTTCTTAAACCATGTGTCAGCTCCCTTCTAAAGTTTTCCCCTGTATTTAAGAATTTGGCATATGTAGATTTTTGTGGGTCTTACCTCATGATCTGTACAATTTGCACAGGGCTGTAGCCAGAAAATTTTTTCGGGGAGGGTTGAAAATTTTGAGGCGGGGGGGAATAGGGTCACACTGAAGCAAAGAGCACAGCAGGGGGCAGAGCAGCCTTCAATAGCCTGCAGCTCCGCCCCTGTCAACCACCTCCACCAAGTCTGGCCTCCTTAATGAGAGCATTCAACACCCCCTCCCCACCCAATTTGGTTGCTTTGCTACATCAGCTATTGCTGCAAGTAATGACAGTGTGAATAAATTGTCAATATTTGCTTGAGATAGCGCTTGCAGTTCTGGGGGGACTCTTAATTTTTTGTGTCTCATAGACTTAGCAGGGGGATTTGGTTAAACAGTTAAAATTAATGAGTAAACCAGGTTTTTTTTTAACCTGAAAAATTTTGGCTACATGCCTGAATTTGCATATTTCAAAAGGGGGTGCAGGTTTTTATTTTGTAGAAGAGGTCTCTCTGACACAATCTTTAACTAGTACACAATTTACGTACATAATACCAGCATCTTGGACTTTGAGGGTTTGTTAAGACTTGTCAGGTTTGGAGAAGGTGAGGAGAAAGTTCTCCACTGGGAATGCTCACCATTGTTAAAGAGCTTATGTAGAGTTCTACTGCATTCAAATTGTAATTTTGGAATGAAATCTGGACAATGCAAATGAAGCATTAAGGGGAGTAGAACCCAAGTTTGCACCTAGAGCTATTAGGTCTTGCTACACAGACAATTATATATGTCATGATTGAAAAATCATTCTCATGTGGACATGGTGATGAAATGATAAGACAAAGAATGTATTCATACTCCAAGTCAACAAAGCTCTTGCTTAAATATTTAAGCAAATGGTTTGGTTTGGTTCAAATTTGTAGTATGTGTTTACTGGTAGCATGGCTTGGAATCCAAATTTTGGGTTTCAGGTCATGTTCTGAATGTCACTACATTCTTGCTTTTCAAGGCCGATAACCTTTTTGTTTCTTAATTGTCTCTTACATTTCTGTATTATATGAAAAGGTCAAGTTATTGAAAGGACAATACTGTTTGGAGAATGATGTCCCAACAACACTGTTTTTTTCTTTTCTACCCTCTCATTCTTCTGTGAGTGTCCTGGTAGCTAGTTTAGTTTGGGTTTGTACATGGTGGTCTCCCCCTCCCTTTCTCAGTTGAGACTTTTTGGAAAGAAAGGACAGCCCTGACTGGTGCCATCATTATGTCATATCAGTTTTGGCAGGACAGCTACAGTCTCTCTGCTCTTTAACACCCAACCTTTTGACCCCCAAATCATATAAACTGGGTGAATCGACTTCCACTTAATTCAGAACCAAAGACCTCTCTCGCTTGCTAACTGCATTGTATTATTTCTATCTCTGAAGATCTTTTCCTCCATCCCCAACTTATTTGGAGATTATTTGCTCAGGAAATGTTGACTTTCTTCACCTCCTTACTTATTCTTATGTGTTAAATGCCTGTGAAAATATCAAAAATTATGAAAGTTCCAAACAGAAGGAACAGCATCTGCTGCAGAAATAAAGAAATTGTTAGCTGCTTCCTGCATTCCCCTGTTCAAAAAGCCTCAGTGAACATTCTTGTGAAATGAATTCTTCCAGTATGTTTAATTGAAAAGTTCTTTCCTGTTTCAACACCTTACTGGATTTAAACCTGAATGAGAGGGTAAACCTCTCCCTCTTTGGTAATGTTTACTTTTACATTCCCTTGTGATTGCAAAGAAGGCAAAGATTGGAAGAATGTGGTTGGGGGTGCACTCATATTGTCTTGCTCCATCTGACCTAGTTTTCTTTGTTCCTTTCTTTTCTTGGTGCCTATCTTTTCTGGTTGTACATTAATTTGTATTATTTCACTGAGACCTTGTGACATTATTGATCCTCATGGAAGTATATTTTCAGGACATCCACATACTCAATGATATGGAAGCAGTAAAACAGCAGTGATTTTAGGTGGGAGGAACCTACTGTGTTGCTGGTTGTGGTACCCCATTTCAGTTCACGAGAATAGTATGTTCGAGAGAACCAGCATGTGTGTGCCTGATTTCCTCTGTTCTAATTTAATATAGTGCTGCCACTATGAGCAATTTGGTAAATGCTATGTGAAATATAAACTTTAGTACACAGAGATCAGGAGGGACTGCTAGGTGGCTGTGTCCCTTCTCTTGCCCATACTTGAAGTAACACGGGAAATGACTTTGCCACCTACTTGCCTGACCTGGTCTTTGGATACTGTCACTAGAAAGACAATGTAGAAATGGATATAGGAAGGCAGCCCACAATTGGCAATAGCCAGTTCTGGCAGTTCTCAAGTTACAAACGAGATAGGTTTTGAAGTGCAACTTAAGATA